TTAAAACTACTCGAAGCGCTTGTAAAATAACAAACCTAAACACATCCAGAAATCTGAACCAAATCTATATAGTTTACAAGATAACTTTGATCCAGAGTGAGTGAGTGAGTGAGTATGGTTTTACGCCGCTTTTAGCAATATTCCAGCAATACACGGCGGGAGACACCAGAAATGGGCTTCACACATTGTACCCATGTCGGGAATCGAACCCGGGTCTTCGGCGTGACGAGCGAACGATTTAACCACTAGGCTACCCGACCGCCCCACTTTGATCCAGACGATTAAAACGGCGCAAAGAAACTTTGTAGCATACCTACCTATACATACATACCTACAAGTACCTATACTATCACCAAGGGCACATACGAAATCCAGAAGGCGAAACAAATTGTAATTTGTATGTGGTACCTTTCGCAATCAGGAATGGGAATGTGGCACATCTGAGTTTTAATACATATGTAATATAAATATAGAAAAGAAAAATATCATGAAAACCAGTATTATGTTTTCACATAAGTGAGTGAGTGAGTTGGGTTTAACGCCGCTTTTAACAGTATTTCAGTTATATCCCGGTGTGTCAGCTTAATGTGAGAGGAAAGCCCGAAGGTATGCAGGTCTCAGACGTTTACCCCTTTGGTGAAACCCATGAGCACGGGTATGGTGCCGACAAACCTAGAAACATAATCGGGGTGAACTGGGATTCGAGCCCACAATTTTAGGTTTCTGGTGTGCCCAAGGGTCGCAACTCTGCACAGCGAATCGCGGCGCCTTAGACGACTGGGCCACCCGTGCCCCCTCACATCAATCACTTCTGAAACATTTATTATTCTTTTCAAGGAACAAGTGGTATTGAGCTGACACAATCATAGTGGAAAACATAATAAATGTTTAAAATTGTAACCGAATAGAATGACATAACACACTTCTGTTGGCACAGTATGTTAGCAACATGTGTTGCATTGTCTAGAACAGAACGAACAATTATGACAGTGACACAATAAACAATGTTTGTAGATCTACAGTGGTAAAATTATTAATATATTTCATAATTAATATTTTCAAAGTAATAATTACATTGTACTATAATTTAATTTATGATGAACTAGTTCAGAGGAGACCTGCAGATATTGTTACAATTAAAACCCACAATGTTGTGAGTGCGAAGTTTTTATACAACATGAATCATACTACTCTATGAGAATAACATCCTTGTTTACTCCTGTTAATCATTCGCGCTGTACGAAAGCGCTCACACCTCGCTACCCGGCAACTGGGTCAACGTGTCCCGCCTCTCCCCGTGACAGAGCTTTCTCTCCCTTCGATTATTGGGCCCGACTATCACAAACGTGTTATGTGTAATAATTTACTGGTAGGAATGATTACAAAAATATTTTCATAATGATTTCCGCATTTCGCACGCACACATATCATTATATATCTGTGAGACAGAGACATCTTTTTAAAATCTTAATTTGTTCTCTCTAACAATTATTCATCCGCATGTAACTTTCTCAAAACAAAAACAAATAAAGCACGGCGCATAGCGCCATACAATGACTTAATATGGTAAAACATCTTACCATAACTAAAAGTTGAAAAGTCAGAGTCTTAACCTGCGCTTAATGAATACATGCAGATAGGAGTAACGTAGAGATTCTTCGCAGTTATTGAGCTGCGATATGACAATCAAGATTTTACCCCGAAATATGGGAACCTGTCTATCCATAAAGAATAAGAGGAACAGTTAGCTAACAATATTAGGTGTAGTTTACACTGGCATAATATAACCAAAATGTCAAACCAAAAGTTGTTAATCGCAACTAATAAATAAATACGGCAAAATCCTTTCCGGGATCATACGATCACCTTTTTGCGAACAGCTAGCACTTTTGGATAGTTTCATAAACACATTTTTTTCTATAGTCGGAATCGTACATTGAACTCGGCCTTTATTAGACTTTTCGTTTGATTGTGGAACAGTTCTCTATGCTGTAAAAAATCCATGGGGGCGTGTGGGTGAGTGAAGTGGAAATACAATTTTAAAACATTCAAAGTGAGGGGCACGGGTGGCCCATGCAGTCGTCTAAGGCGCCGCGATTCGCTGTGCAGAGTTGCGTCCCTTGGGCACGCCAGAAACCTATGATTGTGGGTTCGAACCCAACCCACTCACTCACTCGCTCAGTCATTGAAAGAGTGGTAATATCCTTTGGTTGAACCTGAAGCGTTCTCTTTTGGCAAAACTGTTTAAACCATATGAATTTAGAGCCAGTGAGAATTACTGTAATACCTTGTATATTTTTCATCCTTAGCATATCTGTTATTATTATTTGGGCTTTATTCTTTTCTTTTTATTTAACCGGTTTGTTGGAATAATAACACATAAGAACCAATATTGCGTTGTTACTCGAAATAGCCGGCGTTAAATAAAGCGTCTTGTATCTTGAAAGGGTGAGTTTGGTTTACACCGTTATTCCAGTTTGATGTAAGAGGAAAGCCCGAAGTGATGCATGTCTCAGATGTTACCACTCTGGTGAAACCCACGAGCACGGTTTTGGTGCTGACAAACCTAGAAACATAATCGGGAAGGTTACTGGCGTAACCAAGGGACGCAACTCTGCACAGAGATTTGACATTTTGACAACTCGGACGCACGCACTCGAGTGAGTGAGTATGGTTTTACGCCGCTTTTAGCGATATTCCAGAAAATATCACGGCGGGGGGACACCACAGAAACTCGATGATAGCGTATATAACATAATGTTCGTATAGAAAAACATCACACCCCTCTATACATCTAGATAGTGGTGTGATTTTTTTTCTATACGAATATATTATGCTGAACACGCTATCGTCGAGTTACTGTGGACACACGTCGCCCCGTATCTTGAAAAAGGAAAGAGTGGCTGCACTTAATTCAAATTCTGAGATCAGTGTATTTGGCAGTTTAACGTTTCTATAGTCACGTTACACTGCATATGGTGCAATCGATTGTGTAAGTACTTTGCTGGTCGTTTTTAAATAATATTTCTGCATTTATTGGAACACAAATATAACACGTTTGTCTTGGAACCAAGGTTTTCTTGTTCAGCTTGTTCTATTTAATGGACAGTAAGGACATAGTGACCTTGCTAGACCTAGTCACAGGTACATGTGAAGTCGACGGCAGGCTCGTCGTTGTATAACTGGATCACATAAAAATTAGTCGGTTGCTGAGTACGTCAAAAAGGTCATATTTCAACTTGTCATTGACAATGAGGGCACGTCATAGTGGTGATCGTGGGATTGTCCTGATTAAAAACTTGACCATATGTCAATTATCCCTCAGTAGGAAAATATTTTGGTTGTAGGATCTAGATAATACTGTTTGTATTCAACACCTCGCTCGAGTACTTTAGCCTCGTAATGTGATATGTGCAGCTATGTTTTGTTTGTTTGTTTGTTGATTAACGCCGCACTCAGCAAAAGTCAAGCTATATGACGGCAGTCTGTAAATAATCGAGTCTGGACCAGACAATCTAGTGATTAATATCATGAGCATCTATCCGCGCAATTGGGATCTATGACATGCATCAACCAAGTCAGCGAGCCTGACCACTCGATCCCGTTAGTCGCCTTTTACAACAAGGTAGTCGCCTTTCACGGCAAGCATGGGTTGCTGAAGACCTTTTCTATCCCGGAATCTTCACGGGTCTGCAGCTATGTAATATATTATACCGAATAGGATAACAATATTTGGCATGGGATTAAAAAAGGTGTTTGCTGACGATACGACGGCTGCGGGCCACGGAGTGCATTACGTGGGATTGAATGTATATTGATATGCAATATGTTCGGTTTGTTTGTTTGTTGCTTAACGCCGCACTATTCCAGCTTCTCTTTCGGGGGTCTGTAAATAATCAAGTCTGCACCAGACAATAAAGTCATTGACATCATGAGCTGGGATTTTGCGTGGAGAATGGATATTTTCTCAGCTACGGCTGCAAAACCAGACATCTTTAATTAAAACTATAACCTGAATGTTTGAAGAAAAACATCTTGCAACATTTTGTTGGTTCAGGTTTTTCGTAAGTATATAGCATAATTATATTTCTCAAGCATTTTCTGGGACAATATAATTTTTACGATAAAATCCCCGATTATGAAATATTCGGTCCCCACGTGTTTTTGTGTGTTCCCCGGGATAGTGTGATTGGTGACACGCTGTTCCGTTGACCAGAGTATTGTGTAGCGTTAATGAAAGCAATGGAGAGGAAAATAGATCTGGTTGGGAATGAAATAGAAAAAAGGGAAAATAAATTATTTGAAAAAAAACCAAAACACACATATTAACAAAAACAAAATCATTGGTTATTGCTGATATCCCTCAGAATACCAGCGATCACCGCAGGGAGAGTAAACCATGAGGGGTAGCAAACATGGTTTACAATCAGTATCTTTGCTGAGGGTCCTGTCTGCCATGTCCGGGGGAGGGTCAACTTGATCCGCGTTAGGGTCTGTATGCGATTTCTAGTCCGCGGTAGGCCCTTTCTAATCGCCTCCGCCTGCACCATCCACACTCTGCCATTATATCCCACAAAACATCATTGTTTGTTAATCTTTCCTTCGAAGGTGGTCTGAACATGATAATGGTAATGTACACTAACATCCGTCGATCAGTTTCACATCTCGAGTAATCACTACTGAAGTAATTAATGACATATGATCATATAATAAAATTCAAATGAAGGTGGCGATACGCATAATAATACGCGCCTGTGTCTCAATAGGCGAAATACTACAACCAAGATAAGGAACCAAGTTCTTGGTCACAGGTCACAAATGTTGTTAGTCCTTAGGAATACAGCCGGGCTTTCCATATTTAGATCCATTCCATTCGTCACGATCCATTCGTGACCAACTCGTGTTATTCCGGGACAAGCCGGACTGCAGGCTACGGAAAGAGGCGAGTGGTGACTATTTGAAGGCGTGTAAGAATAGCGTTATTTGATTGGCTAATGTCTTCTTCCGGATTTTTGCTCGTGGATGTGAATGGTATGTGATTTCGAGTACACACAAACATTAGATAAGCGCCTTGTCTATACGGTCTTGCAAAACGTCCAACATATCAAGATGTCAAACGAAGTCAGCGGAGTCGAACACAGTGAAAATGATGAAATGAGAACAAAGAGTCTTCTGACCAGGTAACACACTAACAAGAAATTAATTTATTTGCAGACACACGAAACGAACGTACATAATATGACGTGGTTCCGCTTCAACAACCATCTTTACACGTATACAATATTGTTCATCCCCGTGAGAGTTTTTGTAACATGATCTTTTATGTTGTTATTTTGTCAGTGCATTTGTTGTGTATTATCACGCGTGGGAAATAACACGCGTTTCACACCGACTGATTAAATAAATAATTAAACAGCTTTTGTTACGATAACATGCTCGTTGGTTATCCATTTTCGATCAATGATCGTTCTCATTTTCCCTAATGACAGATGATCGGTTGTGTTTTTTTACATAACATAACTACAAAATAAAGTATATAAACAATTGGAATTGTCATTATATTGTTGTGTTCATTCTCGACTGTGGGGTGTGTTTTATTGAGACATATTCAAAAGGTGCTTAATTCGTATTAAATACAAAAATGATCCTAATTATTATTTTTAAATTAAAGTTTTATTTGAAATTTAACATGTCTTACTATGAATTTGTGATGGCTAAATGAAAATGATTCAATTTATTCTCAAAACGAAACATGCCCATTCATGTATTTCAGAATGTTATTGGTTTGAATACCACAATATACTTGACAATGCTGACAATGACCCTCGGTGTGTCTGTTATAATTATACAACGTGTGATGACGCCTTGGATCGGGTTGTCACACTCGCTGACCTGTTTGATTCATATCACCATATCCCAAATGAGTAGGTCGAGGCTCATGATGTCGATCACTGGATTGTCTCATCCAAACATGATTATTTACAGACCGCCGTCATATGACTGGAATATTATTTAGTGCGTACTTAAACCACAAACACTAACAAAACATGGGATGAGCATAAACAATCTGCCTCTACACTGATTTTGTTATTATCGGGAAATATATTTCAACACTGACAATGAGGTCACAAGAGGTCGCAAGTATTTCAGCTAGCCAGTCCTGTGGTCTGGCTGAAATTTTGGGGAGTTTCATACCCTGCATATAGCTGGATTATTGCTGAGTGCGGCATTAAACAACAAACAAACATATCAGGGATTTTATGTGATGCAGAAATGTGCATCCAGTACGCACAAATGTATAGAAGGGAATCAGAAAAAGAATATGTTGCTTTCAGGGCAAGCACAGTAATATTAAATGTACTGAATTCTTGGTCAAGAAATATATTGGCCTTTATTTAAAGTAATTACTAATTCTTGCTGTACACTACTCCACAACATTTCACCACTTTACAGGGCCCTTGAAATTATTTAGATAGGTCAAGATATGTTAACCACTTTCAGAGAAGGCGTTTTGCTCTTTTAAAGCAGGGGTGGTAGGGTAGCCTAGTGGTTAAAGCGTTCGCTTGTCATGCCGAAGACCCGGGTTCGATTCCTGACATGTGAAGCCCATTTCTGGATGCATTTGATCAATTAGGTTCAAAGTTAACCATGAAAACAGTTATTTTTTTGTTTCCTATTTGTAGTTGTATCTTTTGTATTTTGCTAATCTAACAAAAATAGAATGGTCAGGCAAATAAAAATGGATTGAACTAATTTTATTGTGTTTTCTGTGGCTTTTGTAGGAGTGAGTGAGTGAGTGAGTGAGTGTGGTTTTACGCCGCTTTTAGCAATATTCCAGCAATATCACGGCGGGGGACACCAGAAATGGGCTTCACACAATGTACCCATGTCGGGAATCGAACCCGGGTCTTCGGCGTGACGAGCGAACGCTTTAACCACTAGGCTACCCGACGGCCCGGGCTTTTGTAGGAAAGACATCAGGTTGAGAACTAAAATCTTTACTAGCCTGGGTAAAGATAAAATACCATTCTAATGTTAAAACAATTGGGAAATTGTGTGTGTGGTTTTTGCGGGTAAGACATCAGGGTGAGAGGTGGGGGCAGGGATGGCCCAGTCATCTAAAGTGACGCGATTCGCTGTGCAGAGTTGCGTCCCTTGGGCACGCCAGAAACCTATGATTGTGGTTTCGAATCCCGGTTTGCCCCGATTATGTTTCTAGGTTTGTCAGCACCGAAGTGGGTTTCACTGAATTGGTAAACGTCTGAGACCTGCATCACTTCAGGCTTTCCTCCCACATATAAGCTGACACACTGTGATATAACTGGAATACTGTTAAAACCCAACTCACTCACTCACATCAGGGTTAGAACTAAACCAAAAATCTTTACTAGCCCGGGTCAAGATAAAATATTAATAAATTTCTAATGTTAAAACGATGGGGAGACTTGGAAATTTGAACTAACCTGAAGGAATATGTACTAGGCCAGGGCTAGCAGGCTCGTGTTAATTTCTAACCTCGTAAGTCATTCCAAACCCCTAAAATATTTGTAGCCTTTGTGAGGGTGACAATCTGGTCTTCAACAGTATGACAAGATGTGTCTCACCTCTACTGCCTCAGTCATATGTATTCTGTGTGAATCCTTCCTGACCTGGGTCATAGATTATATCACTCCTGTCAGTGGTGTCTGGCCTCCTGCCGCCAGGTAAGTGTCATGGTGATGGATGGTGGGAAAATATCATTTAATTTTCATTGTGTTCACACTGTGATTTGTTTATTAGGTCGTATGTAGTCGACACAAACAACAATGATGACGGCACATCATGCTTGACCCTGAGGTAGGTTTTGTGTCGATGCTTGGGTTTGGTTGTCATGGTTATGTGGTTGTCATGGTTATGTGGTCAGGGCTTCGTGTCAAACAAACAAACAAACAAACAAAACACACATGCTTTTGTACTATGTAGTCAGTACTGCTCCTTGTACAGAATAGTTCCGTACCCAATGGCCAATGCTTCATAGTTCATATCAAATCAAACGTGAAATATGTATTCATTGTGTGAAAGGGCTTAGGCCCAAATACAGTTGAGTACAATTCCATGTTTGGCCATATGATACCTACCTACATTCGTCATATGTATCGCATAGATTTCAGTATATCTGTTTACACCCTTGAGGCATGGAATACATACAAACTTTATGCTGTATAATTCCTATCAAAGCTTGCCCTGAGCGTGCGCCTGTAGAGGGGAAGTCAGGCAGTTATTGCCCATCAACAATGGCAGGGTTAAAGTGTGCCCTGTTCATTGTGTGTCAAGGTGTCCTACGAAGCCATAGTACTGATTATTTACAGGCTGTTGAGATATGGTATACTCAGAATAAATCAATATTTCCTAACTGTGTTATAAGAGCTGAGTATCGCCTGAGATCTCACGATCTCCGTCAGTTTCTTTCCAGTTTTATCGTCTGTACCTCTGTACCTGATGTATCAATGACATCGTAGGTATCAGTGAATCATTACAGCCCTGTATGTTATGTTTTGGGTGTCAGCAAAAGACGACTAACGGGATCGGGTGGTCAGGCTAGCTGACTTGGTTGATTCATGTCATCGATCCCAATTGAGTGTATCGATGCTCATGATGTCAATCACTGGATTGTCTGGTCCAGACTCGATTATTTTACAGACCACTGTCATATAGCTGGAATATTGCTGAGTGCAGCGTTAAAAAACAAACTAACAAACAAACAAATTTTGGTGTCATCTTATGCAAGTCTCTTGTCTAAGGCGCCGCAGTTCGATGAGTAGAGCTGCATCCCTTTTGCACACAAGAAACCTATGATCATGCATTCGAATCTCGGTTCGCCTTGATTCTCTCTTACCGTGCTTGAGGGTTTCACCAAAGTGGTGAATGTCTATGACCTGCATCACTTCGGTCTTTCCTCCCACATCAAGCTGGCCCGCCGTGATATAACTGGAACACTGCTCAAAGCGGTGTCAAGCCCAACTCACTTCATCAATAATATCTTGAAAAATATTGCTGTGTTCCATAACGTTGCAATCAGTTACACCATGACAAAGCATTAGTAAGCATGGTAAGCTGTATCACAAAATAGTAAAAAATCTGGACAAATATTAATGAAAATACATTGTATCCACATGTTGGGTATAAGTAATAGAAACTTTTGAAAGTGTTTTTTAAACTAACTTGCAGGTTATCATGGTTATGTTTTGTTAATAAGTACTGCAAACTCTCAATATTGTTGGGTCTATTCAGTGACATTGTGTGTAGAAAGGAAAGATCACTGAAAGGAGCTTATGCACACTCAAGAATCCCCCAACCCTTTTGAGGCGAGGCGGCTAAAGTGTTCGCTCATCACACCAAAGACCCGGGTTCCATTCCCTGCATGGGTACAATGTGTGAAGCCCATTTCTGGTGTCCCCCGCCGTGATATTGCTGGAATATTGCTAAAAGCGGCATAAAACACCTTTTGAGGCTAGTCTCCAGCAGTAGAAACTAACAGTTTCAGTCCACTAGTCCTTATAATGATAACATATAGTAAAACCCCTAAAAATGGCAAATTTCTACTTGTCCTTATGATACCGTTACTATTGGGCAGTTTTGCAAGGACTACTGGACTAGTGCCAATTTCTAACCCTGGTCTCATGTCAACACCCCATAATCTGATAATAAAATTGCACACTCCAGCATGTGCTGTGGGTCACAAAACAATCGTCAGACTCCGCCTTTCAAAGAAAAAGATAAGATATATGGTTTGTCTCAAAGCACTAGGGAAAAAGATACGCTGTATCTAACAATAACTTATTGCTGAGCCATTTGAATGATCATTGGGAAAAAAACAGGTGTGTTCTAAGACGTCATAGGCACACCCTGTACATGTGACATTATGACTAACCTATTATGTTTTATGACTGATAACATATCAATGTTTATAGTTATGTAGGGGGCATCTGTGGCCCAGTTATCTCAGGTGCTACAAATAGTGGGTTTGAATCCTGGCTCGCCCCGATTATGTTTCTTGGTTTGTCAGCACCATACCTGTCCTCTTGGGTTTCACTGACGTGGTAAACATCCAAGACCTGCATCACTTCGGCCTTCTTCCTACTTTAAGCTGACTCACGCTGTGTACGAAATAACTGCCTGCCTGCCTGTGACTAGTAACTTACCTGTTGGGCTGCAAAAAAAATTCCTCAATCTGCCATACTGTTTGGCAGATCAAATCATGTGAGCACCTTGATTAAAAACATGAAAAGATTAGGAAAATATCTATTGATGCCGAGTTGGCAGTACATATGTTTTGCAAATCCTGCAATCGACCAAAATCTGCACTGCGGTTAACGAACTGGATGTCAATTTTGTAACGCTATCTTGACTGGACTATGCATTCGTTTTTAGCCCAGCCAAAATATTAGTGCTGGGACAATAAACCCATGCATCAATGTATCGCGATTTTTTATTTCTTAATACAAGTATCGATCACAGTCACACACTAAGTAAAAAATAGCGAATCTGACCTTAAATGTTTGCTATAACACTTATCAGTACTGCGAGTTAATAGTGAAAACATACATATTTTCCTTTGTCGTGCCATACTTCACTCTGCCAGCTGCAAGTCATCTGTGTGCCAGGTATACGGCATCCTCTCTATGTAAAAGATGGCTTTCGCACCACGGATAAGAGCACATGCAATCACATATCAGAACGTGAGGAAGGTATCGTGATAAGTATCAGATCGCACAGCTGGTGAATCGTCCCAGCCCTAAAATATAACTCCATAATTACAGCCTAGTTCAGCTAGGATTGACACATTTATATTCAGTTAACTCCCTTTCCCGGGAAGATTAACTCCTCGTAGATTCTCAAGTAATTGTTAGCATTATTTCAACTGAATTAAGACGCAATTTGGCTCTTATTTTTTGTGTAATTTTTCAATATTTATAATGAGCCTGATACATATTCATTATTATTGCAAATTGTTTTGTTTGTTTTTTAATGCCGCACTCAGCAATGTTCCAGCTGTATGACGGCAGTCTGTAAATAATCGAGTCTGGACCAGACAATCCAGTGATTAATATTATAAACATCGATCTTTGCAATTCGGATCGATGACGTGCATCAACCAAGTCAGCGAGCCTGACCACCCGATCCCATTAGTCGCCTTTTACGACAAGCATATAATGTACAATGATATGGTTTTCAGTAGTTTATCCAAAAAGAAATATTTTGTGAGTGAAAATGGCCTATGTTGTTGAGTCAGCATTGTTTAATTTGAAAGTCAGCAATATTCTGACTGATAATGGCTGCCTGTATATAATCAAGTGGTTGATAGCATGAGCAAACAAATACCCTCGCTACAGACTTTGACCTCCAAGTCTTCTGTTGAGTTAATGTTATGATAAGCTGGAGGTACTGGGAACTGGGGGTATTCTCATACAATGAGGCGATTCATCTCCTCTTCGTTCATCTTGTGATGATAACATATCAGTGCGTCTGGGTCAGTGTGCTTCAGATTGCGGTCAGTGACCCTGTAAAGCACTGGTCGAACATTCTCCTAGCTTACCAAGACAATATTACACAGTCACTTTATTTAAGCCTATTGGACATGTTGATACTTTAATCCATCGTTTGCCTTTTGTATAATACTTCTCCGTATTCATGATGGTCAAGGAGGTTAGACATTAGGGCTGGGAAGGGTAACTCGGGTTCTCGGGTCCGGTGGGTCCGGAGTTGGACCCGGGTTCCCACAGTCCTACCCAGACCCATGGTTAGTCACGTGATATTGTTTAATGACAATATATTGTTTATAGCTCTGTCATAGCGACTGATTTATGACTACCATTGTCTGCAGTACATTTGACTCCAAGGGCAAATTACCCTGTAGCCATGTCTCCATAACTTAATTGTCATTACGTTTTAGGCGCTAATCCCTGTTGTTAATCCTCACCAACATTTCATTGTATATTGACTGTCAGTCAGCCTGGACTACCATATCACTTCCCTTTAACTACTGCTTTTTATAGTATGGCACTTATTGCCCTAATTGATCATCCCATGAACTGTGTCGGTTCATCACGCCCATATGTCCAATGTCCAAAGCAACGTCATTGTCTCTTTGTCTGTCCATTGTTGTTCATTACTATATATGTGCTACCATTACACAGTTACTACGGTGTTAGTAACCTTGGTATTGCGAGTGCTGGCATAGGGACGACCTCGAGCAGGATGTGCCGCTCGTAGGAAACGCCCAGAGGTGAGCTAGAGATCCGCTCACCTCTTGTACGCCTGAGCTGGAAGGTCCGCTCATCGCTGTGTTTGTGTTGTCAGAGCAGGTATTCCGCTCATTGTGCAATTGTTGTTTATTGTTTACATGTTGTGCATAAAGCGTTCTGGGACAGTGATGTCGATTTTGTCCTTTATTCCCCCAAGAGCTAATTCCCCGTCAACACAAGCCAGCTCCATGTTACACTGCAAGTCACTAATGTTCACATTTCTTTCCAACTATGCATGCAATACTTCTGACTGTCACATGTTTGAATACAGATAAAACTTCAGTCAACCTCAGTGTGTGCATGGCCAGATCGTGTTATAGTGTACCTAAATACGTTTTTAAGGGCTACTGTCAAACTAGTCCCAATCGGACATTTTGAACTGGTATCTCTTGAGACCTACAGCGGGTACCCGGGTAGAGTCAGGTAATATGGGTGTGTGTACCCGGGTAGCAAATCTTGACTCATCCCAGCCCTATTAGACATGACTAAGCACTCGCTGAGACCATAAAATGTTTTTGAAAACTGCCATAAAAGTGCCATGAAATATTGAAT